GTGTAGTTTAAACCAGGGGTTCTTAAACAATCTTGCGACGCAACCCAATTCAGGGTTTTATGAACATCTCGCAACCTATAAATCGGGAAGATGTTTTCTCATGTTAGCTAAGTTTAGACAAGACATGGCAATGCAATTTCAATGATGCAAAAATGTGAAATTTGAGGAAAAAACACCTCCATCGTAAATATGCAGTTGAGGGTTAGAGAGGATTTGAATTTCTAGCGCAATGGAAAATTACTAGTTTTTTTTTTTTGAGTGAATGGAAATATTGATGGAAAAAGTCCTGCGATGAGAACTAGACAATATTATGAACTTCCTATTGCAATTCTCGCTATCGCTCAACTAATTTCCGCTGCATCGTTCGTGAGTAACAACATGCTTTCGAAGTAACGCATTTCCAAAGCACATTCGTAATTTTACGAGATCATTATCGTTTAAAAAAATCGCGCCACGTCAATCATTTACTTTTTTTTCAAACAGCGCAACGCAAATTTAACGCTAAATATATCAGTGGGATACTCTGATTATAATTATACTAAAAGCCTTTACTATAAAACTGACATATCACACGTAGAAATGTATTGGAATACCGCGTTTCATGGACATAGAACAAGTTGGATTTTGCCCCTTTGTGAATTTGCAATGTTTGCCCTTTATCACGTGATTTGTAACTCGGAGAGAAAGGTAATTACTAAATTTTCTGACATATAGACATATTCAGACTGCCAAGCACGTCATTCAACTTTGCTAGTTTCCTCAGCTAGCCCTAACTCTAGGGAATTCAGTGATATTAGTGATGTAAAAATATGTCAAATAATTTTTCTGGTTAATTTTATGACGAAACAAAACGGAATGCAATTTTTTGAATATTCACTGAATGCGACACGAGCCACAGATAATGAAGCGGCGGGCCACATGCTTTAAATAGATCCGACACATAACTTTCAAAAAGCGAAATGAAATTTTAATTGATTTTTTCTGACAGCAATGGATTTTCTTCCGCAACTCTCAACCAAAACGATGCATTGGCTTTTGAAATGAACTCAATCATTAAAGATCTATCAAACTCTTTTCATATTGCGGGCCCTGTGTAGTGAGTTTGCAGACCCTGTGCAGACAGTTTGCGGGCCATGTGCAGTCAGTTTTCGAGTCTTGTGCAGTCAGTTTGCGGGCCCTGTGTAGTGAGTTTGCAGACCCTGTGCAGACAGTTTGCGGGCCATGTGCAGTCAGTTTGCGGGCCATGTGCAGTCAGTATTCGAGTCTTGTGCAGTCAGTTTGCGGGCCCTGTGTAGTCAGTGTGGAAAACCCTGATTTAATGCGTATTTTCCTTATGTTGTAGTCGGAGTCAATTTTTTCAACCCGGATACGTTAGCCGATTGTATATTTTTCCGATTCTACAGCCTTCACGTCCAGTGACGAAATAACTCATGTGAGCAAATGTTCTCTAGTCGACAGATGTCGCTAAAGAGCGAAAAAATTAGTTGCTCCCGAAGTATGTGTACCAAGATGCCGCGCAACCTGAAAATAGTATGTGTATCATGTTAGGGTTCAGGTTGTGCGCCATCTTGATGCACATACTTCGGGAGCGCCGAAAAATGTGCGTCGGAATGTAATCGTTAGACTCAGATGATCGAAAGTGACTGTGTTACATTATCGAGCCTTGCTGTCGAGTCTAATATGACACATTATTATACGCAGACTAGTTCGGGGCCGATAAAGAACTCGTCGGTTATCGAGAATTGTCATAGTGCTGGGGTTTAGGTTGCCAAGCCCATCGTAATCAGTTTTTTTTCACCCTCATGTAAATACACTTTGTAAAAACAATATAAAAAACAAACGTAAAATTGGTATTTCAGAGTGAAGGAGGGTGCGGAAAACCAATACTGGTTATCAAGCAACAACACCCGTGATTGAGTATAACAGTAATCTGGAGAAAGTAATAGCCAAACGTTGTATCATAAAAAAAACTCACAGCAAAAAAACAAAAATACGACTCCAAGCAAGGTAACCAAAAGAATGGCATTCGAAGACAAGGCAGCAACATCCAAGGACTTTATTTTGTTTGATATCGGGGCGGTGGTCTGGGAGGAACCGGGTGTCGTTAATAGTGTGGTAAAGGGTCTTTCTTGAATTGTTCCCATAGTTATGTAAGATGTTGTTTTTTTAATAAATTTTGTCACATATTGTCTTCAAATATTTTGTCACATATTCATTTCATCCGACTACGTCATCAAATAATTACCTCCCAGTGATGTCATAAGTACCAACAGAATATTGTCGTACGTAATCGCGCACTTTAGACCCGGACTCTTGATATTGATCAAACACTTCAACAAATCGTTTCCAGCGATAATTCGCGTCTTTTGAAAATGTTTTGTCTGTTAAAGGTCTGTATTTGAGCTTCTGTAGTATGCGGCGCTGTGTTCTCAGCAGGGGCGCGTCTAGTGGTCATAAGGGCACGGGAAGAACGTTGTAGGGTTGTATACACGTGAGTTCGTTATTTAATGAAAAGAATGTATAGGCGCCAAATCGGAGTCGCTATCTAGCGCCAACACGCGTTAACGGACGGTTGCTCTCTGAATCGTTTCGAGACTCCACAATAAAAATACGCGTACAAATTGCCTTTTGAAATTTCTTGTTGTCACGAAAAAGGTACGTTTAAAATGCAGTGTACGTACGATTGAATGTAGCAATGTAGCACGATAGTACGTAGTACGAAGTACGGTTTTCTAAACAGAAATGAAAGTCTCAATGGACAGTCTCAAAATATGTCACACAATAAAACTTACCAAATATCTAACTAATTAGCACTTAAAAAGCACAATATTTATCAATTTAGAATCACAAATTAATTGAAAAAGCCAAAAATACAGCACAATTGTCACATTAAAATTGCAGTTTTATATCACTAAATAAAGCATAAAATACGATATATCAAGGACTTACTTGACGATGTAGCCTTCAACTCAAAGAACAACCAATTATTTGACTGGAAGCTATTATTTTAACTAGCTCTATATTTGATCAGATATAACAAATAAACACACAAAATATCATGAAATAACTACTTGCAACTGTTTTCCTAGCCTACTGAGAATAACGAACATCTAAACGCGAATAGAGCTGGGAAAGATTCAAAGGTAACTTTTACTAAATATATAACTTAAAAAACCCGGTTCCTTGAGACCTTAAACAGCTAAAAATCTAACAAAACTGGAGAGCAGATAATCACTGCCAACATTCTCGCCCGGAAAGCAGCGAGCGAAAGAACGAGCGTTGCCAGGATTATCCTTGCCAATCAAAAGACCCACTTCAGATTTAATATTTGGTATAACAACATTCTTAAATTCAATAAATTGATCCACGTCCTTTTGAGAGGGAATATCAGATTGCTCAACACCAATTTTATCGGTTGAAAATAATGACGTCAATGGCACATATTCAGATTCATCAAAGTCCGAAATTTCAAGACCTTTCACATTGATACTTTGTTTACTTTCAGTTTCATTATTTATTGTACGAACAATCAAATTTATTTTGAGACCATCAACATTTAACTTGTGCATAAGAGACTCACTTATGAATGAGCAAGTTGAACCAATACCAAAAAATGCGTTTGTCACAATAGCATTTTTGTCACCATTAACACGTACTTTAACAGGAATCACATTGAGCAAAACCTTTTCTATTTTGGATGTATTAACAAAAGCATTGAATTTGGTTTCAGTTTCAGGTGTTTGAGAGCCAAAATTTTTCAAAACAGGAGATTCATCACCTTTTGTCCCCGAATGATTAATTTGGATTTTGTCTGGAGGATGAAGAACCGTTGTATGTCTTCTCTTGCATCCTTCAACCTTACAAGGCTTTGTCCGCTTACAGTCTTTGCTCCAGTGACCAGGCTCGAGGCATGAAAAACAGAGCTTTTGGTTCTTGACAAACCCAATTTTATCTTCATAGCTCAATTCACAAAATTTTACACACTGATTCAAAAAATGATCTTTATTGCATTTAACACATTTTCGTACAGGCCTATCAACAACTGATGTAGCAAATGTTGATCTATAGGGTTTCAGACCTTTCACAGGGTTCGATTGCTTTGGAGGTGAGTTCGAATCATTAGAAGGCAGATTCGTGTTTTCACGAGTTCGTTTTCGAACATCATTCGCCAAATGTTCAACTGTTAAATTCACCTTCTTTTCATTTAAAACTTCATCAACTACAGACAGCCACCCTGCCCTCCAAGAATGAGGCATTCTCATGGCCATCTTATCAATTGTCATAATGAATACATTATTATATTCAATTCCTATCAATGTATTCATACAGGACATCAGCTCTGCGGCAAACATTGTTAGGGCATCTTAATCAGCCAATTTTAAATTAGGACCACAGGAAACTGAATTTACAAGCTTCCCCTATTTGATATTTTTGTCCATATGTTTCATCAAGCAACTGAATTGCTTCATTATAACATTCAGATCCACGATGCTGGCAACCTTTGACTAGAGCATGAGCAGGACCCTTTGTATATTTAAGCAAATACACCATTTTTTCTTTAGGGCTTTGAACTCCACTTCCAATTACAGTGTCAAATATATCCAAAAAATATCTGTACTCCGCAGCATCTCCAGAAAAAGTAGGGGGTTGGGGTTCCGAAGGTGGTAAACCAAACTGAGGTTGGGGTACATAAATTATTTGAGTGTATGACAAAACTTGATTAGGCATAACAGGCATTTGGGTCACACCTGTCAAAGGGACATTATTTGACATAGTCACTACCGGTACAGAACTTGCTTTAGGAGCAGTATAGATTGGAATCTGACTAGCATTTGAAATAGGTGAGGTGAATGGTAAACTCACACTCGTTTCAGGTATTCGAGTCACATTGTTCATAGTACACGCACTCACACTCACCCAGGGAGCTACGGTACTATCATTCAGCATATAAGAACAGGTAGTAGCCACTCCTGAACTAACATTCAACACATTTCTGGGATTCAATGACCCAGTAATACAAATATTTTTTCGGGCACATGAGACACATTCTCAACTGCAACATCACCACCCATAGTCACACTAACATTTTGTGGATTGCAAATTTCAATTTTAGAGGCAGGAATAACCGACTCACCATTTTCCCCGGCGATTGTCCTCCTCCTACTCATGGTACTCAACATATTCGTTCTGGTGACTTGTGTGATCTGCGATTGTGAAAATTGTGCAGTTGTTACAGGTAACATTACAGGTGCATTTTGTACATCGGGTTCAGGTTCTGATGGTGTAGTTACAGAATTTTGTGTCGATTGTTGATTAGTAGTATCATTAGCAATAACAGCAGATGGGGATTTATTAACAAATATTCCACTTTCTGCTAAAGTTTCATTAAAGTCCATGTCCAATCCCAGCAGTTCTCTTCGACTTCTGTCTTCGATTTCTTGCAGGGTTCTTTGTTTACGTCGATTGAATGTAACGTTTTCGATCTTTCTTTTTTGTTGTATTTCCTGGCGACGACGCATAAATGCTTCTCGCTTATGTTGGTTTTCAATTCTAATTTCTTCCTCTTGACGTTGTCTTTCGTGCCTCAGTTCTTCTTCTTGACGTTGTTTTTCTTTTCTTAATTCTTCTTCTTGACGTTGTTTTTCTTTTCTTATTTCTTCTTCCTCAACTTGTTGTTGTTGCAGGAGTTCTTGCCACTCCTTTTCCAGTGTCAAGTCTTCAATTTGGTTATTTTCTTCTCAAATTTTTTTTCTTGTTGCAACCGGTTACCGAGCTGTTGTTTCTCTAGCTCAGTTTTTCTTTGCTGACTTATTTTTCGTGTTTCATAGATGTTTTCTATTTGCGACTCACTAAGAGCTGATTTTTGTGACTGGACAACAGATGTTGATCGATAACTTGCACTACGAAACGTTTTCAAGCTTCTTCTCTTTGAATTTCTTGACAAACAATCCCGAGTTAAAACAGTTGATTTCTTTTGTTTCACTTTTGATCTTGTGGTCATTACATGTGTGTTTGTTGACATTTCTTCAGCAACACAAGATGCTACAGACTTCTCTTTATTAGTGTTCTTTCGCGAACTTAGGTGAGAAACTGAATCCACATCAGGTATTCTTAGGAACAAGTCTTTACTCACACCACTAGAATGATCACTCACAACATTTTCACTTGCCAATGCAAGACTTGATTTAGGTTGTGTTTCAACTGACATTGCAAATATTGTTGTTTCATGAACGTCTGATTTTGCAGAACCGTCATTTGTTGTTGAATCATCTTCATTGTCCTCGACATTTAAGTGAGCATCAGCCGTTGCCATTTTTATTTAACTTCAACCAGGCAACTTCAGAATTAATGTCCAATTTTTCTTTCAACTTTTGTGCAATCGTCAAAAAACTTATGTAGGCGCCAAATCGGAGTCGCTATCTAGCGCCAACACGCGTTAACGGACGGTTGCTCTCTGAATCGTTTCGAGACTCCACAATAAAAACACGCGCACGAATTGCCTTTTGAAAATTTCTTGTTGTCACGAAAAAGGCACGAAGTACGGTTTTCTAAACAGAAATGAAAAACAGTCTCTAAATATGTCACACAATAAAACTTACCAAATATCTAACTAATTAGCACTTAAAAAGCACAATATTTATCAATTTAGAATCACAAATTAATTGAAAAAGCCAAAAATACAGCACAATTGTTTACATTAAAATTGCAGTCTCATATCACTAAATAAAACATAAAATACGATAAATCAAAGACTTACTTGACGATTTAGCTTTCAACTCAAAGAACAACCAAATTTTTGACTGGAAGCTATTATTTTAATTAGCTCTATATTTGATCAGATCTAACAAATAAACACACAAAATATCATGAAATAACTATTTGCAACTGTTTTCCTAGCCTACTGAGAATAACGAACATCTAAACGCGAATAGAGCTGGGAAAGATTCAAAGGTAACTTTTACTAAATATATAACCTAAAAAACCCGGTTCCTTGAGACCTTAAACAGCTAAAAATCTAACAAAACTGGAGAGCAGATAATCACTGCCAACATTCCCGCCCGGAAAGCAGCGAGCGAAAGAACGAGCGTTGCCAGAAATAAGCAACAACACAAAGAGAGCTGGCCTAGCAACACAGGACAAATTAGCATAATTCTATGTTCTAATTTGTTAACAGTCTGCAAATCGGGGTAGGTTGTCATCAGAAAAATATCATAAATTACACTAGTACTAAACCCTACTTGAGCAGCATTAAGTATGCCCAATACAAACCTAGAAATAATTACAAAACAATACTAGAAACATGGCAACATCAATGTGTGAGGTTATGTTGCAATCGCAGAATACGCAAATCACAAAATCAGTCAAGTGTGAAATAAACGAAAACAAATGCGAGGCGGTTTCATCCCGGCCCCTTGGAAATTTAAAATTTGCATCCACAAATTTACAAGATTTCCACACACTCAAAACACAACAAACACACTCAACAACCATGCCAGAAAAAAATTCTTTAGAACGAAATTGAAAAGTTATCAAATCATGCTTCATCACACTCACGCAGAAGTACAAGTTTTGTCACAGGGCGTTGGAATATGGAATGTTTGGTTTGAACACCGACGGAACGAACCCTACCCTTGCTATCCTGGTAAGTTTCAATGACTCGTCCCAGCAACCAAGTGTTTCGTGGTTGATTCTCATTCACAACAAGTACAATGTCATCCTTTTGAAGATCTCGTTGCACTTTGTTTCATTTTTGTCGACATTGAAGAAGCGGAAGGAATTCCTTTCTCCAACGTTTCCAGAAAACATCCGCGAGATATTGGACTTGCTTCCAACGCTTTCGAACATACATGTCCTTGGGATCAAACACACCTGGTGGAAGCATTGGTTCCTCTTTCATCAGTAATAAATTGTTTGGACTTAATGGAGTTAAATCTTTAGGGTCGTTCGATACCGTAGTTATCGGTCGTCCATTCACAATATTTTCGCATTCGCACATAAGAGTTCTTAAACTCTCATCTGTCAACACTTGTTCACAGCAAATAGCATTAAAGATTTTCCTTATAGTTCTAATCTGTCTCTCAAACACACCACCATGATGAGATGAAGCAGGCGTTTGAAATATCCATTTGATGTTTTTCTGTAACAAACAATCATGAATTTGGTTTTTGTTCCAAGATTTAATGGCATCTCTGAGTTCTCGTTCACCAGAAACGAAGTTAGTGCCATTATCAGATCGCATCTCAATAACTTGACCTCTCCTTGCTATGAATCTTCTAAGAGACATAATGAAAGCACTAGTGTCCAGGCTGTTTGCTATTTCCACATGTACAGCGCGCGACACTAAACAAGTAAAATGCACACCATAACGTTTAACCTCGCTCCTTCCTTGCTTGATCAAGAATGGACCGAAACAATCCACTGCAACATATGTGAAAGAAGGTTTATCCGGTATCAAGCGATTCTCAGGTAAGTCCGCCATTAATCGAGATTCAGGAGGACGTTGTCTCTTCCTGCAAGGAACACATCTTCTCAAAACACTTCGCACCAAAGCATTACCTTTTACGATCCAATACTTTTGATTTATTTCAGCTAACACATATTCACGACCGTTATGACCAGTTGTTCTGTGGACATAATCTATTATCAAAGAAGCAATTTTACTTTCTTTTGGGATAACAATTGGATGCTTTGCATTAAACTCAACATTTGCTGCTCTGATCCTACCTCCTACACGAAGTAGTCCGTTTTCCAAGAATGGTTGTAAATTACATAAAGAACTTGATTTTGGAATTTGTTTTCCTTTGAACAAAACATCAATTTCTTTTGAAAAGTATTTTCTTTGTTCATGCTTTATAATTTGCACCTCAGCCAGAATCATTTCTTCTACAGTTAAAGATTCAACAGGTCCAGATTTCAAATTGCAGTTTGATCCAACAATTGACTTTAATTTGTTTATGTAACGTAACATCCAAGCAATTATTTTCTTCAAGTGATACCAATTTGAATATTTAGCAACGACATCATCAAGAACACATGGTTGATCTTTCACAGCAGCAAAACCTTTTTCAGGCAATTCTTTCTTAATTTCCAAATTTCCATCAGACACAGAATGTAAGAAATCAGGTTGTTCAGGCCACTCATCATGACATTTCCATAAAAAACTTGGACCAGATTTCCATTCCGGATAATTCAGGAAAGCATCCACTGACATACCTCTGGAGGCAACATCAACCGGATTCAATTTAGATGGCACATAATACCATTGGCTAATTTCAGAAACTTCCTTGATTAGATTTACTCTGTTAGCAACAAAAGTTTTAAATACTTCATCCTCATTAGCCAAATAGCGTAACACCGTCGTACTATCTGTCCAAAAATAGGATGCAGAAATTTCAATTTTAAGCTCATTTCTGAAAAATTTATCATTGCGCGCAGAAATAGTTGCTGCACACAGTTCGAGTCTAGGTATTGTCGAGCCTTTCAATGGTACTAGCCTAGATTTTCCACAAAGTAACACACAGTGTATTTGTCCAGTTGAATTCAACATCCTGAGATAGGACACGGCGCCATATGATTTTTCAGACGCATCCGAAAAATGATGAATTTGAGTTTCTACAACTTCACCGTAATCCACGGGTACAAAACATCTTGGTACATCAAATTCCTTCAGTTTAGGCGACTCCGAAAGCCATTTTAGCCATTCTTGTTCAACTCCCGGCGGTATTGGGTCATCCCAACTGAACTTCTGTCGGTGCTCCCGAAGTATGCGAACCAAGATGGCGGACATCGGAACGTAACATGGGTAACAGGGTTAGGCGATAATTTTTTTCCAATTTTCCTTATATTAGTCCTATTATCAGTTCGAAGACTAGCCAAGAGCCTCCCGTAGTATTTATACCTAAAATTATGGCTTAACCCTAACCTAGTACACATATTACATTCCGATGTCCGCCACCTTGGTTCGCATACTTCGGGAGCCCCCTTCTGTCTGCAAAGCATTTGCTTTAGAACCTTCACAGGCTGAAGCACTGGCTGTACCAGGCCCATTGGGTCAAAAATAGAATTCACGACACTTAACATGCCACGTCTATTACAAGGTCTCTCTTCAGGATTAACAGAGAAACACAAGGTGTCTTCATCAACACTCCAAATCATACCTAGAGCATGTTCAAGAGGTAAAGCGTCAACAGCTAAATTTAAATTTTTCAAATTCTTTGATCTCATATCTTCAGGAATTTCGGCAATAACATTGCGATCATTACTGATCCATTTTAAAACTTCAAATCCGCCATTTGCGCAGACAGCAGAAATATTTTTCACGAGAGAAACGGCACTTTCGGCATTTGGTCTTGAATCGAAAAAATCATCCACATAGAATGAATCGTTAATTGCATTTATGACACTTATATCAAAATCATGTTTATTGTCTTCGGCAGATTGTTTCAATGCATAATTACAGCAACTTGGGCTGCAAACCGTTCCAAATGGATAAGCTGTCATGCGAAATTCTTTCATGGGTTTATTTGTGTCACGGTCTTCCCACCAGAAAAATCTAAGATAATTTCTGTGTTTTTCGGGTACCTTCACTTGTAAAAACATTGAGCGAATATCTCCCTGTACAGCAACCACATTTTTGCGAAACCTTGACAGAACACCAACCAAGTTATTGGCCAGGTCCGGCCCCTGTAACAGAACGTCGTTAAGGCAGATTCCTTGAAATTTAGATGAGCAGTCGAATACAACACGAATTTGCTTCTTTCCAGGGTGATAAACGCCATGATGATTAATATACCAAATTTGACCTTCACTTTCAGTAGAATCAGAAACTTCTTCTGCATAGCCCATAGTTAACATATTTTCCACAAAATCTTTATATTCGGAATAAAAATTTAATAAATTAAATAATAAAAATAAATCGACGCTTGAGCGATTCGGTTCGCTGTTTCACTTGCAAATAATTTGAAGGTAATTTCGAATTTGGATTTATAAATGGCAAATCAATTTCATAGTGTCCGTCATCTTTCAACTTAATAGATTTGCTCACCCTATCAAGGAACATTTGTTGTCGAGGGGAGATTTCTTCCTTTTCATTATTAACCGAATCAATGACATCCGTGCACATTTGACACAATGGATGCACTTCATTTTTCACAAAATAATTACATGGATTACCTTGATTATCATTCTTCTTAGGTGGACAACTAATCATCCATCCAGCAACAGTCTTAGATGCAAAATAGTCATGAGGGCCATAGGCAACTTCCAATGGTTTGTGCAATTTAGGATTATCCTTGCCAATCAAAAGACCCACTTCAGATTTAATATTTGGTATAACAACCTTCTTAAATTCAATAAATTGATCCACGTCCTTTTGAGAGGGAATATCAGATTGCTCAACACCAATTTTATTGGTTGAAAATAATGGCGTCAATGGCACATATTCAGATTCATCAAAGTCCGAAATTTCAAGACCTTTCACAATGATACTTTGTTTACTTTCAGTTTCATTATTTATTGTACGAACAATCAAATTTATCTTGAGACCATCAACATTTAACTTGTGCATAAGAAACTCACTTATGAATGAGCAAGTGGAACCATTATCAAAAAATGCGTTTGTCACAATAGCATTTTTGTCACCATTAACACGTACTTTAACAGGAATCATTGAGCAAAACCTTTTCATTTTTAGATGTATTAACAAAAGCATTGAATTTGGTTTCAGTTTCAGGTGTTTGAGAGCCAAAATTTTTCAAAACAGGAGATTCATCACCTTTTGTCCCAGAATGATTAATTTGGATTTTGTCTGGAGGATGAAGACCGTTGTATGTCTTCTCTTGCATCCTTCAACCTTACAAGGCTTTGTTCGCTTACAGTCTTTGCTCCAGTGACCAGGTTCGAGGCATGAAAAACAAAGCTTTTGGTTCTTGACAAACTTAATTTTATCTTCATAGCTCAATTCACGAAATTTAACACACTGATTCAAAAAATGATCTTTATTGCATTTAACACATTTTCGTACAGGCCTATCAACAACTGATGTAGCAAATGTTGATCTATAGGGTTTCAGACCTTTCACAGGGTTCGATTGCTTTGGAGGTGAGTTCGAATCATTAGAAGGCAGATTCGTGTTTTCACGAGTTCGTTTTCGAACATAATTCGCCAAATGTTCAACTGTTAAATTCACCTTCTTTTCATTTAAAACGTCATCAACTACAGACAGCCACCCTGCCCTCCAAGAATGAGGCATTCTCATGGCCATCTTATCAATTGTCATAATGGATACATTATTATATTCAATTCCTATCAATGTATTCATACAGGACATCAGCTCTGCGGCAAACATTGTTAGGGCATCTTTATCAGCCAATTTTAAATTAGGACCACAGGAAACTGAATTTATACAAGCTTCCCCTATTTGATATTTTCGTCCATATGTTTCATCAAGCAACTGAATTGCTTCATTATAACATTCAGATCCACGATGCTGGCAACCTTTGACCAGTGCATGAGCAGGACCCTTTGTATATTTAAGCAAATACACCATTTTTTCTTTAGGGCTTTGAACTCTACTTCCAATTACAGTGTCAAATATATCCAAAAAATATCTGTACTCCGCAGCATCTCCAGAAAAAGTAGGGGGTTCCGAAGGTGGTAAACCAAACTGAGGTTGGGGTACATAAATTATTTGAGGGTATGACAAAACTTGATTAGGCATAACAGGCATTTGGGTCACACCTGTCAAAGGGACATTATTTGACATAGTCACTACCGGTACAGAACTTGCTTTAGGAGCAGTATAGATTGGAATCTGACTAGCATTTGAAATAGGTGAGGTGAATGGTAAACTCACACTCATTTCAGGTATTCGAGTCACATTGTTCATAGTACACGCACTCACACTCACCCAGGGAGCTACGGTACTATCATTCAGCATATAAGAACAGGTAGTAGCCACTCCTGAACTAACATTCAACACATTTCTGGGATTCAATGACCCAGTAGTACAAATTATTTGTTCGGGCACATGAGACACATTCTCAACTGCAACATCACCACCCATAGTCACACTAACATTTTGTGGATTGCAAATTTCAATTTCAGAGGCAGGAATAACCGACTCACCATTTTCCCCGGCGATTGTCCTCCTCCTACTCATGGTACTCAACATATTCGTTCTGGTGACTTGTGTGATCTGCGGTTGTGAAAATTGTGCAGTTGTTACAGGTAACATTACAGGTGCATTTTGTATATCGGGTTCAGGTTCTGATGGTGTAGTTACAGAATTTTGTGTCGATTGTTGATTAGTAATATCATTAGCAATAACAGCAGATGGGGATTTATTAACAATTATCCCACTTTCTGCTAAAGTTTCATTAAAGTCTATGTCCAATCCCAGCAGTTCTCGTCGACTTCTGTCTTCGATTTCTTGCAGGGTTCTTTGTTTACGTCGATCGAATGTAACGTTTTCGATCTTTCTTTTTTGTTGTATTTCCTGGCGACGACGCATAAATGCTTCTCGCTTACGTTGGTTTCCAATTCTAATTTCTTCCTCTTGACGTTGCTTTTCGTGCCTCAATTCTTCTTCTTGACGTTGTTTTCTTTTCTTAATTCTTCTTCCTGTCGTTGTTTTTCTTTTCTTATTTCTTCTTCCTCAACTTGTTGTTGCTGCAGGAGTTCTTGCCACTCCTTTTCCAGTGTTAAGTCTTCAATTTGGTTATTTTCTTCCCAAATTTCTTTTTCTTGTTGCAACCGGTTACCGAGCTGTTGTTTCTCTAGCTCAGTTTTTCTTTGCTGACTTATTTTTCTTGCTTCATAGATGTTTTCTATTTGCGACTCACTAAGAGCTGATTTTTGTGACTGGACAACAGATGTTGATCGATAACTTGCACTACGAAACGTTTTCAAGCTTCGTCTTTTTGAATTTCTTAACAAACAATCCCGAGTTAAAACAGTTGATTTCTTTTGTTTCACTTTTGATCTTGTGGTCATTACATGTGTGTTTGTTGACATTTCTTCAGCAACACAAGATGCTACAGACTTCTCTTTATTAGTGTTCTTTCGCGAACTTAGGTGAGAAACTGAATCCACATCAGGTATTCTTAGGAACAAGTCTTTACTCACACCACTAGAATGATCACTCACAACATTTTCACTTGCCAATGCAAGACTTGATTTAGGTTGTGTTTCAACTGACATTGCAATTATTGTTGTTTCATGAACGTCTGATTTTGCAGAACCGTCATTTGTTGTTGAATCATCTTCATTGTCCTCGACATTTAAGTGAGCATCAGCCGTTGCCATTTTTATTTAACTTCAACCAGGCAACTTCAGAATTAATGTCCAATTTTCCTTTCAGCTTTTGTGCAATCGTCAAAAAACTCATGTAGGCGCCAAATCGGAGTCGCTATCTAGCGCCAACACGCGTTAACGGACGGTTGCTCTCTGAATCGTTTCGAGACTCCACAATAAAAACACGCGCACGAATTTCCTTTTGAAAATTTCTTGTTGTCACGAAAAAGGCACGAAGTACGGTTTTCTAAACAGAAATGAAAAACAGTCTCTAAATATGTCACACAATAAAACTTACCAAATATCTAACTAATTAGCACTTAAAAAGCACAATATTTATCAATTTAGAATCACAAATTAATTGAAAAAGCCAAAAATACAGCACAATTGTTTACATTAAAATTGCAGTCTTATATCACTAAATAAAACATAAAATACGATAAATCAAAGACTTACTTGACGATGTAGCCTTCAACTCAAAGAACAACCAAATTTTCGACTGGAAGCTATTATTTTAATTAGCTCTATATTTGATCAGATCTAACAAATAAACACACAAAATATCATGAAATAACTACTTGCAACTGTTTTCCTAGCCTACTGAGAATAACGAACATCTAAACGCGAATAGAGCTGGGAAAGATTCAAAGGTAACTTTTACTAAATATATAACCTAAAAAACCCGGTTCCTTGAGACCTTAAACAGCTAAAAATCTAACAAAACTGGAGAGCAGATAATCACTGCCAACATTCCCGCCCGGAAAGCAGCGAGCGAAAGAACGAGCGTTGCCAGAAATAAGCAACAACACAAAGAGAGCTGGCCTAGCAACACAGGACAAATTAGCATAATTCTATGTTCTAATTTGTTAACAGTCTGCAAATCGGGGTAGGTTGTCATCAGAAAAATATCATAAAGTACACTAGTACTAAAGCCTACTTGAGCAACATTAAATATGCCCAATACAAACCTAGAAATAATTACAAAACAATACTAGAAACATGGCAACATCAATGTGTGAAGTTATGTTGCAATCGCAGAATACGCAAATCACAAAATCAGTCAAGTGTGAAACGAACGAAAACAAATGCGAGGCGGTTTCAGTCTCGTTCGTCAATTTGTTTGAAGATTTATTACTGTTTTGCATTTTATTGGGGTAATTTCACCATTTTTCCTTTGCTATTTGCCTCGTGGAATCATACTGGTTTCGTGAAAGTTGCGATAGTTATTTTATCCTTCCGTGTGAGTTATGCAACTTTGAAACCTCATATCTCACGAACCTTATATTAGATGCAGATAAGTTTTATATTGTTTGAAAGACAATCTAGGAGACTAATTATAATTATGAGATGGAGATAAAATGTTGCGATTATCATACAAAAATCTGCAAAATTGAAAATCGTGGAATTTTTTTGAAAAGCTCATGAATTAAATAACAAAAACTTCGATTTGTCCTTGTTTTAACCTAATATGACATCGACACATTCGCAGAGATTGAAGATAGCTTTCGACATTAGATAGAATTTATCGTGTACCAGTAAAATTGTATAAGCTATTTCATTCAATGTTCTCCAATTCTTGAAATGTCCACTGCGCAAACTTGAGTAAAACAACAACATTACCTAATTACTTCGTTACGCAATTACGTCGCAACGTAGCAACGTTCTGTATGAAAAAACATATCGCTTTTCTTCGCAAGTGTGAAACGTCATTAACCTAATGCATACGTTTAAATCAGGTACTATTTGAACTGGTATTATGATACCTGTTCACACCATGCCGAAAGTTTAAAGCCTGCGTTTTACATTAATCATTCCAGAAGCTGATGAAATGAATTTTCTCGGAAAAATGTTTCTTAATTTAACGAGCTGTTGCAACAGTTGCTCCAAAAATTATAGAATGTAAACGATCTCATGGCTAACGCATTGTGCGGCCTAATGAATTTCGTCGAAGCATGTACATTATAAGGTACAATATTTCAAAACCAGCTGCCGCGACTGGTGTTGCATCTCCTATTAACTTATTATTGGCAGGATATTTCGATTCTTTTGCGTCGAAAAATGTAAAATATTCACTAGGTGATCTAGCGACGCCATCATGTCTTCTACGTTCTCGTTGATAAAACTTAATTGTAATTTTATCGATATCCAACAGTGAAAAATTAGCCTTGATATTTTCGGGGAACCCTATAAAGACACGGGGTTTAAATTGTTTGTTTGTTTCTATGGAAAGTGTCAATCCCGATGAATGCCCACAATCGTTACAAACTCTTTTCAGGTCTCACACACCTGATAAATATTTGAAAATTGATAGTTTTACCCAATATTTATGTCACCCATCCAAAAAATCAATCGTGTTTTTGCGCGAAGTATAAACTATATTTCGCGCAAATATTAATGCCTTTCTTGATATATGTTCGCCTGTTACTTTTCTGACAGATAAAGTTGCTTGAAATATAATTTCCCATCTTGCCACAATATTGATTTTAAAATTTTGAAACGTTTTCTAAATTTAAGATTAAATATTCACGCAAAAGAGGAGACAAATAAAATTATTGAAAACGGTATGCTGGTAGACCTGTGGCAAGAGCTCAAGTCAAATAGATAATATATTATTTTATACACTCCAGAATATTATATGTTCATGTAAACTTAATATACGTTGTTAGCCTTGTTATCCTTCATTCCATGCATGTAGTATATTTTTTGAATATTATTTTGGCAATGTACACCTTGTTGTTGAAAATTTGCGATACGCATATTTTAATATCATGACATGTACCGCAAAAATAGTGCAAGTTTCTGTAGTATAAGTTGTATTGTAGTTCTGTCAGTTTGTTGAAATAGGTCTGTGCAAGTAGCGATAATTACACCAGGAATTTTATAATAATTTAATAATAAAATGTGTATCTTTTTGTTTAATATTAAGGTCTTATCGGGTTGTTGATTTATCGAGTGAAGTTGGATGACTTTAACCTTAACTCTGTATATGCTGACCATACCGCCGAGCCGAATTATCTGAGAAACATCTGCGGATAATTAAATTTTCAGAAGAATGTTCATTCGTTTTGCCGCTGCGAAAGTTTGGTCCGAATTATTGAGCATCGTTTTTTTTAATCAGCTGTTTAACGATCGCAGGTTTAAATCACTTAGTTAGGATCATACAGCGATAGAACTCTTGACGCAAAATGGCTGGTGTGACGTCACACGAGCGCTTATAACGTTACCAATGGTTGTCCTCACTTGTTTTATAGTCCCTTTGAATTTCGAGTCGTTCTGGTAATATAGCGCCATCTTGTTGCAGTTCAACGTACAGCGGATTGTTGACGGAACGATTATTCATTCGTTTGTGACGGAATCTGTCGATGTAAGAGAGAATAATGTCGAGGATTTACATATTCATCCAGGGAAAGAGGGAAAACGGATAAGACGGCTAATCATATTCAATACCTTTCGATAGCTTCACACTCACCCTAACTCATAGACTATGTGATTAGTCACCTATGTGGGAGTCCAACGTTATATCATAGTGATGAAAAAAGTCGAACATTCGATACTAATAAAAGTCGGAATTGAAGATACATTCAATAGACTCGATATCCCGTTGTCATTCTTGCCAATGAAAGAAAACGACTCTAGACACGACAAGCCAGGTAACCATGGCAACCGCAGTTCATTGAATAGCGAACGGAAGAGTAGTTACCATTGGAACGATTTTCCAACAATAATTTAAAACAATGATCCACATGTAAAAACTTTGTGAACACATGTGAAAACTTTGTGAAACTAAAACCTACCCTCCATTACTCTTTATTCATCTCACAATGAATGCAACAATGATTATTATGACAAACAATAGTATTATTTCACCAACAAGAGAGCTATGCTCAAATATATATAGCGAAAAAAAAAGTCATAGCCTTCAAGATAAATTTTTTTTTTTATTCACTGAAAATTTCAAATTATTTGGTCCAGTATTCAAAGAGAAAAGTGATTTCGTCAAAACGTGTTGACGGAAACAAATAATAACAATAACAACAAAATTTTGAAACGATCGTTATGTCCACTACGTGTCCAACAATGCCCCTAATCATGCTCTGATTCACTGGAGTGGATGACGGGTTTGCTGGCGTTGTTGTCCACCCGGGAGGTAGCTGTAAAATAAAAATAAATAATTGTGCGATATAAGTAAATCAAGTAACGCTTTGTCAAACTAAGAGTTAACTCAACAATGAAGGATTTATTTATTAGAATAGGATATACATATTCATCCCATGGAGAGGACATCTAGATAATGTGGCCTCTCGTCTGGTTGCTAGTCCATTTCGGATATGGGATTAGCTAGTGTTCTGCAATCTCTACTTGTCAAACTAGATCGAAACAGCTAATGGATCCGGCCGAACCCCCGTAAACGTGTGTTTTCATAGGCTTGAGCTTCTAAAAAGCGTTTTCAAATTACGAAAAATTGTAATGTATGATGCAGAAAAATGCTTTTTTTCAACTTTCAAAAAGGGGGTTACGAACCGCAACAACCCCCCACCCCGAGGGGGTAAGCATGGGTACTCCCGTAGTATGTGAAGCAAGATGGCGGACACCGCAACGTAGTATGTGTACCATTTTGGGGTTTGGCCATAATTTTATTCCAATTTTCCTTATTTTAGTTCCATTACGATTTCGGGGACTGTCTGTGTTAGCCAATATACCCCCTGTCCATAAGTTTAAGTTCCTTTATATAACTTGATGTAAAGTAGGCGAACAAAATTAGTTATCTCCATATTGTTACACATACTTCTGGAGCACCGACGAAAGTATATTAGCGTAATAATTGGAACAGTATTTAAAAGGAACTAAAAATGAGCTCAAGCATACCTTTCTATTCTAATTACAGTTGGGCTTAATAGCATCAATGGTCCGGTTTTTAAAGATAGAAAAAGCAATCGAAAAAGCGCCGATGAGATGGTCCAATGAGAGGCACCAATAATAATAAATAAAATGGTGCTGCAATAACGCCATCT